ATTTCCCTAGGTTACTAAATCCAGACATAGCAGAATGTTTTAGGACAGAGATGACAAGAAATGGCATCAGAAGTACTCATTTTCCCTTAAAAGTAGCATCTTATGAAATAAAAAAAAAAACCAAAAATCTTTACCTAAGAGAATCGAAAGTCTGTCAATTATTACACATGTACCTGGATAAGAATATACTTTGAAAAAGAAAATTGCTTTACTCACATTCTTTTTTTTCTTAAACTGTTCATGGATTCTCGAAATTCTCTCACGTTCCTAAAAATAATATATTGTATACTTGAGTTAAAACACTTGCATTTACTCAAACCATCTCTCAAAGACCAGGAATTACGATGAAAATAATTTTTATCTAAGACAATAATGAAAATATTCACACAAAAATTCAATTCACTAGACAAATATTCAAGGACTTACTATCTGGCAGGCACTGGGACCTAGGGGTGAACGAGAGAGAAAGGCCCCCACCTGCAAAAAATCAGACCCAAGTCCCAATGTCATGGCCTGCCAATTGTGTGACCCTGGGAAAGCTATTTACCTTCCCTAAGGCTCAGTTTCCTTATTGGTAAAATGAAAATAATAACCATAACACCCTTAAAGGGTTGCTTCTTTTTGGCAAAATGGAAATAATAACCATAATGGCCTCAAAACGTTGTGAGAAGGTTCACTTATCCGAAATGATCTTATAAAGTGCTTGGCAAATTATAACCACAACATTAGCTATCATTATTATTATTTTCATCCTCTTTGGAAAGTTCTTTTTCAAGTTATTAGGTGTTGGGATTAAGTGGTTGAGACTATTCAACTTTTGAAAACAGCTAATATAAGGTTCCTTCTAATTTTATTAAGTTTTATAATAAATATGAACTTTGTAAAGAGTTGAACAATCTATCCAAAAGGAGAACAGATTACTACAGAGCAATGCCCTCATTTATCCATGTAAACCCATGCCTAGAGATTGCCAGACAGTGCAAACCTAATAAATAAAAAATGCAATAATTTATAGTTCTAAAAGCTTCCCCAGAGAACATTTTCATCATTTACCCATATCCTTTTCCCAGTATATTTTAACTCTTCAGTATCTCTGACATACTAAGATCACGAGTATCCTCTGTGTTTTGATTGCTTACCAGCAGGGAAAATGAACCTGGTAATTCAGTAATAATCTATAATTACAGGTCCTGGACCAGGAATAAACTAGCTTCTGGGGCTAGGGGTGCTGTGCTGGAGATGCAGGCAGAGAAAAGAGCTTTAACTCCATCTTAGAGTCTGTCACAGAAACTGAATTTATGGGGTGGTGAGGGCCAGAGGAATGATTTGGGGCAATATTCCTATTTTATGGGCTCAGAAAAGTCATGAGATCGTATTATTTTTCAAGGGTGTGCAAGCAGATTTGTGAGAGAACCTGTGCCTCCAAACAGGCCCACTGGGCTTTGAAACGCTTGACATGCTTCCCTGGGGGCATGGTGGGAAAATGTAGAGCCTACTGCAGACTCCTGCCCAGGGCAAAGCGCAGCTGGTGGCTGATGAGAAGTTAATAGCTCTACTTTAGAAAGGGACTGCAGGAGACACCGATAATAACTACAGGCCTGACATTTTGGTTACTTACTTGTCATGTCATGTTAATAATTAGAGGTAATGACTGTTGTTGACATTGTGTGAAACCATCATGGGAAGACTCACTCTCTCAGCCCGTACTGTAATCAGGACCCTCTTGATCCCCCAATTGCAGACCCGTACGCTGCAGCCCTTGCCCACTTGCACAAAGTATCCGAACCAGAGACCACTGGGCCTAGGCCCAAAGACCACACGTCATAGTCGGAGTTTTCAGCATCATTTCCCTCAATGAGTCTGTTCTTCCCAACCTGTGCTGGTCCAGATTTGCCAGGGTTGCTTGTTTCTCCCTGCACTCCTTTGAGGGCCTCTAACTTTGGTCACTGTTCCTGGACTTGTAGACCTTGCTTGTTTTCCAAATGATATGACCTGACACTTGACCTTCAGTATTTGCTAGATTTCTTCTGCTTCCTAGTACTGGCTTCTCTTAGCTAACACCATTCCATGGCCCCAGGATTAGGAACATGTCACTACTGTACACATTTGGCTTAGATAGCTCATAATTATAAGTGATTTAAATGTACACTTAAAAGTCTACGGTCAAAACAAAGACGCCCAACTAATAGAGGTTCTCCGGCAAAGAATTTATACATATGTGGGCATGTGTGTGTGTATTTAAATACATAAATTTGTTTGACATTTATTTTTTTAAAAGCTGTGTGAGTTTTTAAAATTTAATTATACAATAGATTAGATTAATATATCCTCTCTTAAAAAGATAGAACATTAGAACATTACTCAAATGTTTATAGCAGCATTATTCACTATAGCCAATGAGTGGAAATGACCCAAATATCTATCAACTGGTAAATGGATAAACAAACTGTGGTAGTATCCATATAATGGAATATTATTCTACCACAAAAAGGAATGAAGTACTGATTTAGGCTAAAATATAGCATAAAATATAGAACGTTGAAAACATTATGCTAAGTGAAGAAGCCAGATACAAAAGATTTATACGAAATGCTCAACACAGGTAAATCCATTTAGACAAAAAGTAGGTTTAGTGGTTGTCAACGGTTGGAGAAGGGAGGGAATGGGGAATGCCTGCTAATGGGTATGGGGTTTCTTTTGGTTCTGGAATTAGAGTGGCGATGGCTGCACAACTTTGTGACTACACAAACCCCACTGAATTGTACACTTACAACAAAGGGTGGATTTATGGTATGTGAATGATGTCTCAATAAAAAAATGTATATATGATTTAAAAAAAGCCACTGGGTATAAACCTTCCCTATTTCAGAGATATAAAAATGTGGGGGAAAAAATAACACTGCAGAACGAGTTTAAGTCCCCTGTGACTACCGTTTCCACTCCTGGTGTTCCTCTCTGCCATAATCATGGGTATGAGCCCGATGTGTGTGTGCCCGGCAGCTCCCATGTGCAGCTTCATATCTGCTCTCCACCCCTACCCACCGTGCCCTTTGCCCTTTGGGCCTGGGGTGGTAACTGCTCGGTTCTGGCTTGGCAGGGAATGCACCATCCCCTGTGGCTCCGTTTATCTAGCCCTCCCCTTTGTGAATAAACCCTCCTTGAATTATCCCAGATTGAGTGTGCCATCTGTCTCCTTTGGGACCCTGACTGACCCAGTATGTATCTTAGGCAAAATTGTATTTTACTTAAAGAAGAAAATAAAATATGGTTTAAAAATTGAAGACAAAAGATATTAAGTTAAATGATTTGAATTATAATTTTGACTAGTCACCTCGAAGATCTCAAAGGCTTTCCTAGACACACAGCAGATGTAGACGGTTATGAATTTTAAACAAGGTCAGATTTTATTACTCCTCTAAATCTTAGCACTCCTCCTAGGCAGGGGCAGACACCAACCTGCTGGTTTTCTGAACGATGTGGCAATCTGCTCATCACCACATCCAGCTCGTCAAGCTTCCTCAAGACAGCTTGAACTTCTGCAGACAGCTCCTTGTACTCCGAAAACTGGTCTTGGAACACAGCTTTATACCGTTCTCGCTCATCATCTGTCTGAATCACAGGGTATTTTCTAAGGGAACGACATAAACCAAAGTTACAATTTTTTCACTAAAAGAAGCTGAACGGGAAATCAGCTTAGCTTATTCCTCACTGACCAC